GGTGGTGGTGGTGATGATACGGATACTAATGGTGTTGGTGATGGTGGTGGCCATGCTGTTGGTGGTGGAGGTGTTGGTGATGATGGTGGAGAAGATGGTGGTGATGGTGATGGTGGTGATGGTGGTGATGATGATGAAGAAGATGGTGATGGTGGTGGTGATGGTGGTGATGATGGTGGTGGTGATGGTGGTGGTGGTGATAATTACGGTGGTGGCGGCAGCAGAGGCTGAGTGCTGGTCATGGTTGAATCAAGAGAGGTGGGTACCCCAAGTTCAAGGGCTACACTCCAGCCCCCTGCCTCTCAGGGGCTGTCCTCAGGCCCTTCAGCATCTCCGAGACTGTGCCTGGGCCTCAGAACCCACAGCTGAAGATGCAGCTGCTGCTGGTGCCCACCCAGGGGCCCTGTGTGCAGAGCTCGCATCCATGAGCCCCTCGACCCCATTCACCCGAAGTCCTGGGGCCCATGTTCCTGCGAGGAGCCCCCCATCCCCAAGAGTTTCCAGTGGCCTCTCCTCCTAGGTGCCCTGGTGAACCCACGGCCCCAGCCTTGCGGTCAGCAGCAGGCACTCCCCCCGCATCACTGATTCTTATTCTTTGGTCTTCTCTTCCCAACATCACACCGTGGGCCTTTAGAGGGATTTGGCAGCGGGAGTAATGGGCAAAGGTACCTTAGGCACCTACAGGCCTTAGGCACCTACAGGAACCTTAGACACCTACCAGAACCTACACAGGCCTTAGGCGCCTACAGGAACCTGCACAGGGGGGCACAGGAAGTGAGCACACGTGTTCTGTGTGAAGAGAGGACACTCCCGTGATGCCAACCCCTGCTGCTCGAGGGCATGGGGTGCAGGGAACGGGGCTGAGACCCTGATCCGGTCCATGGCTCTGGGCAGAGCCTCCCAGCCCAGCCAGCGGTGCAGTCATACCTGACGCTCATGGTGAACTCTCCTCACAGGAGCTGAGAGGAAGCATCAGGGTTCACTGTCGAATCCGCCCCCTGCTGCCCTTCGATAGCAGCTTTGATGACCCAGGTCAGCCACACAGGTGAGTCGTGTGTGTCTTGATGTGGGCTGATGAAAGCAGCCAGGGCCCCGCGTGGCTGCGCAGCAAGGTCGGCCTGCACTGTGCTGTGTGTTCTGATGCTCGACTCGCTGCGGTGGCTCTAGGCCTTGATAAGTGTCAAGGTTGCTGCTCTGCTATTGTGGGCTCTGCAGTGCACTGCCAACCAAAAGGTTGGAGGTTCAAACTCACCAGTCACTCTGTGCGAGAAAGGTGAGGCTGTCTGCTCCAGGAAAGACCCTCAGCCCTGCATCTCTGGGCATCCCACCCACAGGCTCGGGCCTGTGCGCTGTAGGCAGTGCGGCCCCATTCCCGTGCCCACTCTGGGGAGGCATTCCTGTGGAGCTTGCTGCTGCCGGCCTCCCAGCTGAGCCGGAGCCCTGGGTGGCATGGTCTTCGTTGGCATTGCCCTTCCTGTGTCTGGGCCAGCTCTCCCAGGGTGCCCATGACGTGGCCCACCAGAAACCCGCACAGGCACAGGGGGTGGGCTGCGGGTGCCCCACAGCTGCAGCAGCTGCACAGATGTCTAGTTGCAGCGCCTGCACTCCGCTGGGACCCCGGCGGCATGGTGCCTTTCACTGTGAGGTCTGTAGCTCGATACCACCAGCAACTCTGCCGGAGAGAGACGAGGCTTTCTCCTCCTGCAGAGCGACAGTCTTGGAAACCCACAGGACAGGGTAGACAGGCAGTTCTACCCTGTCTTGTGGGGTCGCTTTTACTCGGCACCGACTGCAGGGCAGTGAGATTGTTTTGGTTATAGGGTCGCTATGGGTCAGACCGGACAGGACGGCAGTGAAGGTTTTTGGTACTTCTTCTTGTGCCATGATTTATTTCCCCAAGGAGTCCCCCTCCCCCACTACCACTACACAAAGCTCCCAGACCCGCTTCCTGTCTCATCCCTGGGTTGCGGTCCCCAGCCCCTGATTCCAGCACTGCCGTCTCCACCTGGCAGGCCCTGGCGTCCTCCGTCCAGGACTCAGCCGCACCACCTGACCGTGGACTCAGGAGGGCCTGGCTGGGGACAGGGGCGTCTCGTTCTGAGGATGACAAATACCTTTGAACCCTGACACTCTTGCCAGCAGCAGCTCCTCAGAAGGAGAAAGGCCGGGCAAAAGAGCCAGTCCTTAAGCTGGTGGTGTGAAGACCCCCTGAGACCGCCCTCTCCTGCCCCCGGGGTTGTTGGGAGCTGGGCTCAACCTGTTGACATCCAGTAGCAAGGACATTCCTGGAAGCCACTGTCTGCTCCTCGACGGGCCTCAGGCCAGAGTCCACCTGGGCCCACAGTGGACTCCAGGGACCTCCTGTGTAGGCAGATTTGCTGGCTGCTGCCTGGGCCCTGGCTGGCAGCTCTGTGGGGGTAGGGTAGGGCTGTTCAGGCCCCGATGATTGAAGGCAGATGGCCAGGCTGCCTCTGAGGCACCTCTGAGCGGGTTTGAACCAGTGTGTTGGTCTGGGTACTTTAGAGAAACTTATCCACAGAAACTCATGTGTAAGAGAGAGCTTTATATAAAGGATAAATGCACATCAAGAAAACATCCCAACTCAGTGCTGCCCAAGCCCACAAGTCCAACATTAACCCATTAACCCATATGTCCAACACCAATCCACAAAGTCCTCCTCCATCTCACAAAACAGAGGCAATGATGCCGACTGCAGGAGGAAAGCCGAGTCAGTGAATGTGTAAGCATCTCAGCGCTGGCAGGGGTCTCCACATGGCTGCTCCAGCACCCAGGGCTGCATCGGGGTGGGTCCATGTGGCCTCTCCTCCTCAGGGATGTCTTGCAGGAAGTGAGCCTTGCCAGCTGAAGCAGGAACTGACTAAGGCAGCTGTACCCTGGTCAGACCTTCACAAAGCAAGAGACCCCAGAACTAGAAAGGCAAGGCTCACAGAGCCATTTATCCCTCCACCCTTCAATTAACCCCACATGAATTTATCGGCCAGGTTGGCACAATAAACTAAGTACCTCAACCAGCAGTCTTTCGGCTCATTGTCAAGTGCTCAGCTGTTTGCCTGTGCTCACTGGAAAGGGAACACCCAGCAGCAAGCCTGCTGCTCCTTAGTGGCATGTGCCACCTTCCGTCGGGTGGCAGGTGGCTCGTGGCGACCTTGCTGGTGAACTTACAAAACCGTTTCCACGGCGACAGAAAGTAGCCCCGCGGGTGCAGGGGAACCCGAGTTGGGCAGCTTACCCGAGTCGGTGGTTCTAACCCACCAGCTGCTCCTTGGGAGAAGGATGAGGCTGGCTGCTCCGCTGAAGATGGGCAGCCTTGGGCACCTGGAGGGGCAGCTGTGCTCTGTTCTGTAGGGTGGCTGTAGTCAGAATCGACTCGATGCCCGCGGGGTGGGATCTGTCAGCTCCTGTTTGCATGCCTGAGTGGTTTGCATGGTCGCTTTACGGCAGCTTGTGATTTTGTTTTGAGTCTATGCCTGCTTCTGGAGGGTGAAGTCCTTAAAGATAGAGCCCCACTCCACCCCCAAATCCAAACTCACTGCCATCGAGTTGATTCCAGCTCGGGGTGAACCCCCAGGACAGCGTAGAACTGCCTCTCTGCGTTCCCAAGATTAAAGTCTTTTCCAGGAGTTGACAGTCTCCTCTCCCTTCTAAGGAGCAGCTCATGGGTTTGAACTGCCAGCCTCCTGGTTGGCAGCCCAGTGCATAGACCACTTCACTGCTGGGGCTCCCCCTGGAAGGTCAAACCTTTGGTGTTTTTCTCCTGGCCCTCCATGGCTCTGTGTGTGTGATAGTCAAACACGGGCGATGGAAACCCAGCTGACTGACTCTCACACAACACACCGACGTGGTCCCACCACGGGATGTGCAGCCCCACCCAGGGGCTCCCAGGTCTCCACCCTGATGGAAGCGGACGTCCCACCTGCCTCCCATGGGTTCCAACCACCTGTCCTTTCTGTGTAGTCCCCAAGGCCCCAGGGGCCCCAGGCCACCACAGGGAGTGTGAGTGGGCAAGGGAAGGGGACACAGAGGGACAAAGGGGGTGGAGATGAAAACAGGAAATTCTGAAAGACACTGGGGGCTGGGGGGGGCAGACTACTGGGATGTGGGAATAGGGGTGAGGGTGGGGCTGGAAGGGACTGGCGCATAGAGGAGGGAGGACAGTTAGGACCCCTGGTGACGCCTCTCTTGCTCTCTTCCCCCCAGCTCCGTGTCGGGAACGGTGGTGCACGCCGTGGATGACGTGAGTAGTTCCCAACCAAGCCATGTCCGGAGAAGCCGCTGGCCTGATGGTCCCACTGCCCCCCTCACCCATGCCACGGGCTGCGCCGGGGCCCAAGGCACATCCTGCCTTATGGGGACTTGGGGTTGAATGAGCCACTCTGACGCGTTTGGTGCTTGGTCGTTCCAAAGATGGTGTTTGTGTCGTGAACTGTCCTGCCCCAGGAGGCAGCAAAGCCTGGGTCTGCTCTCCTGGTGTGAGCAAGCCCCCAAATTCCCCCACCCCGCAAGGTGCTCAGACAGCTTCTAGAAAAAGGGAATTGGAAGATAATGGGATGTCTTTCATGGGATGTTGGAAGCCTCTGCCCTGTAGGTCCTGGGGAAGGCAGCCCTGACTGGTGAGCTTTTCCAGCCCCAAGAGTTGATTGATGGGTATGTATAAGGAGGGCGTGGTCCCAGCCTGGACCCAGAGAAGCTGAGTGAGCTGTTACAGTGCTTGTGCACAGACCTCTGTGGTCCTTAGACCATCTGTTGTCAACTTGAGACTATTAAGAGTGAAGGGGTGGAGTTTAGCCTGTCAGTCAGGAGTGGCTCACTACAGGCGATACACACACACACACACACACACACACACACACACACACACACACTCCCTGCGACACATTCCTGCTGACAAGATACATGGAGCTACGCTAGAGCCCTGGAGTCAAAGGAAACATGCAGAGACCCACGCCGGCACTGAGATGCTTACACCACCATTGGATCCACAAGACTTTCCACCCACTGGCCTGTGAGCTAACGTTGCATGTGCTGCGTGAGTCTAAAGAGGAATTTATGGACTGGTATCGGACTTATGGGATAATATTGGACTTACAGATTGATCTGGACTGGGCTGGGATGTTTACTTAATGTACAATTACTCTTTATAAAAAGCTCTTTCCTATCCACATATGAGTATCTATGAATTTGTTTCTCTAGTCTACCAGGACTAACATCCCCCCCCGCCCCCATGTTTTCACAGAGAAATTAGCCTGTGAATGGCATTTTCACATGTGCCTGTGGAACTCTAAAAGATGGGGAGACGCATAAAGAGACAGGGTCCCCCCCACATACTCTCCTCGGCCACCTGCCTAACTGCCCCTCCCGGCCCTGCCCAGGGCCACTCTTAAATGGTATTGACCCCGCCACAAATACCTTTCTCCTTCCTCAGCCACTGTCAGCGTTTTCCCACTGCGACATGGTCCAGAGTGAGGCTGTCCCTGGCTGTCCCTCTGTGGCACTTCCCATCCAGTCAGCCCCTTGTTGGATGGTTTTAGTTCATTCACATGACCCAGCAGGTAGCCTCCCCACAGACCCAACTAGACTCAGGTTTGTAACAGGGCCTATGAACACTGAGAGAACCCAAACGTTTTAAAGAAGTTTTATATACAAGCAGGTACCACAAAAACCACTGATGCGCATCTGTTTTATTTTGACGTGAGGTGGGTAGTGCATTTGGAGTTGGTTCCACCAGGTCAGACTGTGAACCAAGCTTTCTATTTCAAGGTTCTGAAAAGATAGCATGAGAGTGTGTGGCACAAAAGGCCTGATTTGTGGCAGTCGGGGGACTGGTTTTGCCACCACGACAACGCACCTGCTCAAGCAGCCATCGCAGTGCACCAGTCTGGGGCAAAAAACAGCATGCCTCTCTTGGCCCAAGCACCTGACTCACCTGACCTCACTCCGTGCAACTTCTTTTTGTTTCCACAAATGGAGAGGGACTTGAAAGGACAGTGATTTGACGACATAGAAGAGGCGAAGAAAGAAATGAGGGAGGTGCTATCAGCCATCCAAACAGATGAGTTTGAAAAATGCTTCTGAGAATGGAATCACAGATTTGACAAGTGTACAACAACACCACAAACATTTTACATACATGCCAACCATGTGTCTACTGCCCAAACCTGGTCTCAGACCACGAGTTCTGATCTTTAAAGAACACCGATCAAATTTGATGGGTAAAACACAGTCTTTTGGTGCATTTGGTTCACACTTCATTGACGGGGCCAAAACGAATGTACACATGCCAAATGTGTGTCTGCGTGTTTCACATGTACATGTGGTCCCTGACCCACAGGGGTTCCATAAGACAAGCACCTCCTTAGAATTGTTTCCTAGCTGTCTGTCCCAGTCCTGGGTCCTATCTGTCTGTCTGTCCCAGCTCCTGGGTCCTGTCTATCTGTCCCAGTCCTGGGTCCTGCCTATCTGTCTGTCCTAGTCCTGAGTCCCATCTGTCTGTCTGTCCCAGCTCCTGGTGGCCCCATGGGCTCCTTGGCTTGTGGCTTCATCGGTCCGACCTCTGCTGTCATCTTTATGTGGCCTTGTTCTCTCTGTTTCTCCTTCTCCTTACGAAGACCCCAGTCACCTGCCCCATCAGTGATTACACCCTGTGTCCAGGCAGGCTCACATCCACAGAATATCTGGGCCCTCAGCCCCAAACACCCGTCATCTGATCATCGGGGTCAGTCTACGGCACCAACACCTCCTGACCCTGCACACCCACTGCCACTGAGTCCGGTCAGACTCACAGCGAGCCTGCGTGGGTTTCCCAGCCTGCCAGTCTCCACAGGAGCAGACAGCGCATCTTTCCCCCTCGGAGGGTGGGTGGGCTGGGTGGGTAGCATCCCAATGCCTAGGCCTGGGTACTGGAAACATTTTTGTGGTTTTTTTGCTTTTTTTCAATGAGGGAAGTTAGCAGGCTCCTTCCAGTCCGAGTCCGCAAACAGTCAGGCTACCGTCACTGGTGCCCAGCAGGACCTCTCCTCAGCCAGCAGCGCCACGTCTCCCTCTGGTCCATGGTCTCCCAGCCACGTGGCCCCTGGCCTCTGCCTCCATGGGCCTCGAAGCCCCGCCTAAGATGGAATCTGTGGAAAGCAAGCACTTCAAAACGTCCCTGTTTTCAACTCACATATGAAACCTTAAAGAGCCGTGTACCTAGATCTCTTTCAATATAGATGTCTTTCTGTATCTGTAAGTGTAATGGTGTATGCGTTTGAGTCGTGGTCCTGGGGATGAGTATTGGAAGTACCGTGGCCTCAGACGGCACAGACCCCTCATCAGTCTTGGAAGAAGCCTGGCCAGAGGGTCCTCAGAGTCAGGAGGGATGGGGAAAGTTTGTCTCACAGACCCGGGCCTGTTGTTGGGAGAGACAGTCCCTGGAGAAGGACGTCGTGTTTGGTAAATGGAGGAGCAGTAGCAAGGACGAGAAAGACCCTCCACAAGACAGACGGACAGCATGGGTGCAACCATGGGCTCAGCCACAGGGGCAGTTGTGAGGACGGCCCAGGACTGTGTGCTGTTCGGTTCTGCTGTGCACGGGCTTGCTATGGGTCAGAACCAACTGGATGACCCCAGACAACGAGACGACAAAGCACTTAACGTCCCCTTGACCCCCGGGGCCGGTGACTGAGCCAGGCATCAGGATAAGTCCACGCTGTGAAGAGGCACCGAGCCAATCCTGGCATCTCTTTGATCCTGCTGCCTCATCTCAGGGAGGCTGGTAGATTTGGCTTTTCTACACGGCCCCTGTTCTGTAGACGCCATGAGGGGTGTGCAGGAGCCGGCAGAGAAAATGTGCCCTGACCCAGCGTGTGATGAGTCCTCCTCCTCCTCCTCCTCCTCCTCCTCCTCCT